AGATCTCATGGGAAAGACTGGTAGCAGATGCCGCCTTTGTTCAGTCCAGGTTGTTCTCCGCACAGGGCTCGGCAACCCAGGCTCTGTACTTCGCCAAGTTGTCTGTAAGGCTCAACTGCCGCATATGGGCTAAGGTTGAGAGGCTCGCCCAGAGAAAGCAGGACAAGTTGTTACCTTCTTCAGGAAGTTCTGATGTTGAGGCAGTTGCTGATGGTGTCGCAAAGCTTGACTTGTCGCAAAATGGGTCTTCCCCGGATGTCTCTGCCAGCTACGTCCAAGGTGCGCCTTTCTGGCCGCATTTGGGCTCCCACCATACCTGCTTGTTGAACCTCGCCACATTATCTGCCCACCATGGCTTGTTCCAGGATGCTATCTATTACGGCGAACAAGCGCTGAAGATTGACAAAACCCTCGATGCTAATGCACGCCTACTTGCGGCGCAGACCCAGCTTGGTTGTCATTGGATTCTCAGTGGACATATGAGCGAGGGACAGGATCATCTCTCTGCAGCGGCCGAGTCATCTAAACAAACTCAAAGAAGTATTGAAACCGTGTCATTTCAGATGGCGCTTGCGTCTTTGTACAAGACGCAGGGTGCACACGATAAGGCTCTCCGCGTTCTCCTTGAAGCAGGAAAAATCATCACGGCTGTCACCTCTGCTGATATGCCTGCCAGTTTGGAGGTATCAGGCATGGCTGAAATCGAAGAAAAGATGGACAAGTTACGAGTTAGAGCAAGCAGCCGGCGGACCCCGGTGCCTCGAACCCCCACACCTACTACGACTACTACTACTACTACTACTACTACCACTACTACTACTGCTCGACGGACCCGTGCAACTAGTTCCGTTGCGACAAAAACTACAAAGAAAGCCCCAGCTCCAAAACCAACTCTCCCCGAAGTTCAATCTAAATCACTATTACAAATGAAAGGCAACATCCTCAGACAGCAAGCTGATTGCCTGCGGGAATTGCGCGACTTTGAGCGATCTGCGCAAACCCTTGCAGAGGCTAGACAATTTGCCGTAGCCCGGGAAAGCAAGATCACTCTGGAGATCGGTGAAAGCGAGCATCTGTTGGCTGATGCAATTCGCCGTTTTGCCAGCCATGCCGTGTACTGCGTTTTACCTGAATCTACAATCTCGCTGCCGTCACTCAAAACACCAAGCAAGACGGCAGATGAGCCTAGTTTACCCCCGGCAAAGCCGTCGACAAGGAGGACCAGGGCTCCAGCCAAAACAACGCGCACCAAGGCTCAACGAGCTAGTGACGACTTTTCGGTTATGCTGTCCAAGGCAAGCGATTGTCTCGCCAGTGTCTTCTCTGATGCCACAATTCTAGGCTCAACACTTGATAGTCATGCAGCGTCTCGCTTGATGAGTCGGATCTCTATGCTATCGCATGCGACTTCTCCCGGGATTCCAGCGACTCTGGCTCAGTCGCCTGCAAATATGAATGGTAAGTTTTGCGAAATCATTTCGGTTTGATGTGTATCTAATTTTTCAATTAGAAATTGGACGTGTTGGCGCATTTGCCCGAGAACGCATGGCGATTGATATCGATCGACAGCTGGCTGATTTTGCCGACCCTCTTCTTTGGCCAGCCTCATTCCCCTCAGCTGTTGAGTTGGACAGTGATCTTTGCTCCAACTTCACACAGGATTACGTCGACATTCTGCCCGAAACTTGGAATGTCCTCTCTTTGTCATTGAGTGCAGACCGCACCGAATTTGTGGTTTCACGACTCCAAAAAGACCGTTCGCCGTTCCTTCTGCGTCTTCCCCTCCACCGAGGAAACTCGGAAGACGACGAGGAAGAGCAATTCACTTTTGAGGATGGAAAAGAGGAAATGCAGGAACTCATCAAACTCGCCAACGAAAGTGCACATGCGGCCAAGGCCCAGACGGACAAGTTGTCGAAGAAGGAATGGTGGAAGACGCGCGAAGCGCTCGATCGTCGGATGGAAAGTGTGCTTCAGAATATTGAGAACATATGGTTTGGAGGGTTCCGCGGTGTGTTCTCGCCACTGTCACGGGAGACTACCGCGTTAGCCCGGTTTGCGAGCACCTTCCAAAGTATCCTTGACAAGCATCTTCCTTCTCGGCAGAAGGGTGGCAAAGCCGACGGACCCCGGCTCACGCTACATCAGAATGTAGTAGACTTGTTCATTGGTCTTCGCGATCTCGAGGAGCAAGAAGAACCCGAAGACACACTGATGGATCTTCTCTACTTTGTCGTGGATATCCTACAATTCCAGGGCGAGCGCAATGCCTACGACGAGATTGACTTTGACATGATGGTCGTAGACACTCTTGATGCCCTGCGAGGCTACCACGATGCTGCACGCGATGAACTTGCAGCCCGGCCACCGAGACATACAATCCTCGTACTCGACAAAGCTCTCCACCTGTTCCCATGGGAGTCACTTCCTTGTCTCCAAGGATACCCTGTCTGTCGCGTCCCATCCCTCGAATGTCTCCGGGATCGCGTCCTCCAATTCCGCACAGCATCCTCCGGAGCCATCGTGGACCGCAAATCCGGCGCCTTCGTCCTCAACCCAACAGGCGACCTACGCACAACACAAACGACATTCGAACAAGACCTCTCCCGGTTCAAATCCTGGACTGCAGTCGTGCAGCGCGAACCAACCGAAGACGAATTCCGCGACGCACTGGAAAAGAAGGATCTATTCCTCTACTTTGGCCACGGCAGCGGCGCACAATACATTCGCGGCCGTACGGTCAAGCGACTCACGCAATGTGCTGTTACTTTCCTCATGGGATGTAGCAGTGGCACTTTGACCGAAGCTGGCGAGTATGAGCCCTACGGCACGCCGATGAATTATCTTCATGCGGGCAGCCCCGCGCTTGTGGCTACGCTGTGGGATGTCACGGATCGGGATATTGATCGGTTTACTACGACTGCCTTTGATGCGTGGGGTTTGGTTGAGAAGGATAAGAAGGACAAGACTCGACAGGAGGATGTTGGGCTTGACACGGCGATTGCACGGTCGAGGGGTGCGTGTGTATTGAAGTATCTGAATGGTGCCGCGCCTGTTGTTTATGGAGTTCCGGTATTTTTGGAGTGAATCTGGGGTGTTTCTCTTTCTTACTGTGTATATATACCTTGGCGTTTACCCCACTGTGGGCAGCAATCTGATTTGACTCTTATACATACTCAAGGGATATGAAGTTAATAGACCAATGTCTACCTGTGTTATGGCCTAAGATGCTGTTAATAGACCAAACAATGCCCAGCGTAATAGCTCTAAGCTTCAACATCAGATAATATCACAATCCTATACAAAATCCGAAATAGGAAGAATAGTCCTATCAAAGTGGGCCTTTTCCCCTCATGCGGGCCACCTCCCCATAAAACGTCAACGTCTCCCCCGTTCTCGGCCTGTTTTTTTCTCTCCTGCACATCCTCTCATACATCATGTCCGTCATCACAAACGCAACCATCGCCTCCTTCGGCGGCAAGCTCCTAAAGCTAAGCCATGCCGCCACAACCACCAAATGCGAGATGAAATTCAACCTCTTCTTGCCCCCGCAAGCCCAGACACAGAAAGTCCCCGTGCTCATCTACCTCTCCGGTCTGACCTGCACCGCCGATAACTGTTCCGAGAAGGGCTTTTTCCAGCACGGTGCTAGCAAGAAGGGAATTGCCGTGCTGTACCCTGATACCAGCCCACGTATGTGTCTATGTCTATTATGCGTCAATTTATCTTGCACATCAATTCACGCTATCCTGTCGAAAGTAAAGAAAAACATAATTAACTTACCTTTCTATTCAGGCGGCCTCAACATCCAAGGCGAGGATGACGCGTACGACTTCGGCTCCGGTGCCGGCTTCTACGTCGACGCCACTAAAGCCCCCTACAACGCCGGCTATAACATGTATAGCTATGTCACCGAAGAGCTGCCAAAGACTGTCTTTGCTGCATTCCCGCAGTTGGATGCCGGTCGTGTTAGTATCACCGGTCACAGTATGGGTGGACACGGTGCTCTCACTTTGGTAAGTTATAGAACATCTGTCATAATTCGGAAGTTTTCTATATGGAACTATAGCTAGAAGAAAATATACTTGTTGGGGCCTTGTCTAACCAATTCATCAGTTCCTCCGCAACCCGGGCAAGTACAAGTCCGTCTCTGCGTTCGCGCCGATCACGAACCCGACGAACTGTCCCTGGGGCCAGAAGGCGTTCAAGGGTTACTTCGGTGATGATCAGCAGGATAAGTGGAAGGAACACGATGCTACTGAGTTGATTAAGAAATGGAGTGGGGGTCCGCTGGATATTCTGGTTGACGTGGTGGGTTTCCTCCTTTGCTTTATTCTGTCCCTCCATTATATACCTCGTACAACATCTAATCCATATCCAGGGCACCGGCGACAACTTCTACAAACAAGGCCAACTCCTACCGGAGAACTTCGAAGCCGCAGCCCGTGACGCGGGCATCACCGGATTGAATATTCGCTACCAGCCGGACTATGATCACTCCTATTATACCATGGCTACCTTTGCGGATGACCATGTTGAGCATGCGGCCAAGTATCTCTTTGCATAGTGTGTGCTCTTCTCTTAACTTCTAATCTCAAAATTATGTTTTACTTGCATATATCTTTTGTAAACCGGATCTGATGGTTCTTTTTTTTTTGCTCAAGTGAGCGTCAGGTTGTTAGGTCCATGATCTAGATGGGGTTGGGATTTTGAGGGCAAAGCTGATGCTGGGGAAATGCTGCCTGTAAACTAGATTATCCTCCGTTTAGCACGGGACGCCAATCTATTCGGCAACTGGATATCGTCGCTAGTCCTGGGATTTATATCGCTTACTAAGAACTAAGATGTAGAGTTCCGTTCTAGTATATCTTAATAAATATAGATTCGGAGAAAGGCTAGTGGAGCTTATCCGATCGGGATATCTAGGAATAGAAATACTTTATGCAGGGTACAATTCTGGAGTCAACCACGAAGGCAAGGAGCCAAGAGGTATAATCATCATGCCAGCAGTATCAATATCAGGAGTGGCAACACTGCCCACCATTACTGTGGCAGCTAAAACCTGCAGCAGGGATTATTGGCAATCTAGCGAGCAGATCACCAGAGGCTTTGACGAAAGTGACACTCTCAGCAGGATTTGTGGTTGGTGACGACAGTCTTGGCAGACTCGGAGATGGGAACTGGAATGGGAATGGCATTGGAACAGAGTTTGTTGCAGATGTACTAGACGGCGTCGAAGATGGAGCAGAACTCGAAGAAATTGGAGAAGTTGTTGGAGCATAGGAGGGTACGGGACTGCAATAGAGCTCGAGCTGATAATTGACGTGCTAAATGACGAAGGGGTGCAATGAAGCTGGAGCGACTAGCATCCCATGTGCTTGATACAAGCGCCCAACACATACTACGTGTTGGTGCACCCCAAGATGCAAAGAGTCGGATCAAGTAATCTTAGGAACAAGGGCTGTCATGACCTGGCTATATAAAAACACAACCTTAGTATGTGTGAAATTAAAAACTTGCATATATATAAACTCTTAAACTTATCTTCTGTGGACGTTAGCTTTGTTACCGAGGATCGTGTACGGCTAGTTACTCGTGCTAGGATGTCTCTGTTAAGAATTGAGAAGGCTATGAAGGATAAGGGTGTAATATAAAGATTAATTAATGCAAGAGCTACGGAGTATCTAGGCGAGTGTCTAGCCAATCTTGCGCGCGCTGTCTCACATGAAGCACAGGGGTAGATAAATGCTTGAAAAGGATTCGAGCGTCATGCGCTAGAAATCCCTAGCCAATTTTGATGCGTCCATTACAATCAGCTAGATGCACCAATGGTTGCGTGTTTTAGATGTGTCCCCAGTGCATTCGACTCAGAACAGGGAGAGGCAAGTCCGTGCCATCGTAAAATTTCCACCGCGAGATGCGGTAGCATACGGTGAACAGGGATTCGCACCGAATGGCGGGGCGGCTTGGGAGATAGATCAGGACTATTAAAGTCACGTCTAGCCTTGGGAAGGTAAGGATAGAGATTAACCGGCAGTCTATTCTAGTACTCCTTAATAATTCAATTACACTTCTATATATACTCGAACTGATTATGGCAACTCTCTTCATTCCATCTACGTACTCCACTTCACACCCATTGAAATTGAAACTCGACACAAGACAGAAAAACAACCCTATTTCGGTTTTGTCTTGTGAAGTAGGCAAGGGAAAGAGGAAGATGAACCAGAAAACGCCGAGTGGTGGGCGGATACAAATGAACACCACAATGCGAATGCACCATGAGCGTAAGTAGATCATGGGGAAGCAAGAAGCAAGTTATATACTCGGAACTTTTGGAAGGGTAGATTCTTTTTGTTTCTGGTTTGCTCCCGAAAGTTTGATCCACTATTCTTGGGGGTTCAAGCTGGACAAGTATGGTATCGGGATCGGGCTTGGGATGAAGTAGATGGTATAGATGATGGCGAAGTCACAGGGCAACATGAGGAGAGACGTCACCTCGTCGCGTCAAAACGTAAATATGGAAAATGGATGGGGGGGAATCTAGAAAGCAGATAGAGAGGAGAAAAGGAAACTTCATGCGCTCAATCGTTGGATGAATGACTGTTCGAAGGTGCATGTTAGTTGCATGTTATGTAGATTGAAAACAGTAGCACTTACCGGGAAGAATTGCCGGAACCCTTTCACGTCCAACTGGCTCATTGCGGTCAGGAACTCTTCGATGAGATCGGCCCCCATGCCCATGCCGGGCAGTTCCTGGTTACGCAAGTATTCCACATACTCCATGCCTGTCTTGGAGTAGATGGTGCGTTGCAAAGCGCCGGCCTCGGCAAGAACCTGCTTGGCTTGTGCGTCTTTGGAGTTGAAGGATGGCGTCGTGGGGAGTGCCCAGCACAGAGGTGAGAACCGGGTGATCATGAATCCACCAAAGCCGGGGAGTGCGGCTTGGGTAGGTGCGGCGCCGCTAGCAGCGGCAGGGGCAATGTCAGGTCCGCCCCAACAGCTTGCCATACGGCCCAAGACGGAGAACGCCATCTTGGCGGTTGTGAAGTCCTCAATATCTTTGGCGAAATGTTCGATCGTGGTGATCACGGTTTCGAAGATAGACTGGTTCCTCTCGCTAATGATGACAGTGCCCAAATCATTGTTCAGCACAGCCAGCAAGAAGTTCAGATATTCGCGCTTCAACTCGGCAAGCTGAATCTCGTCATCGGTGCCGGTTGTTGGATCAGCAATACCAGAGAAGACTCGCTGCAAGAAAGGAGTCAGGAGAGTGTCGAGGATGCTGTAGATCTCACCCTTGAACCCAAAGATGACCTGATCGAGAAGGCGGAGGAACAGCGCCATCTCGTCGCGCGACGAAGTCTGGGTCAAGAGCCCATCAATCCATCGGGGGAGTTGGGGGAGAATCTGCGCGCCCAGAACACCAATTAGCCGCGAGAACGCAAAGCGAGCAGCAGTCCGGATATTGAACGAGAACTTGAGAGATTCAAGCGCAACCAGGGTCGCTTCAGCCACCTGGGCGAAAGCCACCGAGACCTCGGGAGCCGGGAGAGCAGCGGGCGAGCTGGTGCCCGGCTGCCAGTCTGAGTAACCACGGGCGAGGGTTCCGAGAGCCATAATATCGTGGTGAATCTGCAGCAACGCGCGTTCGTCCTTGGCCTTGGCGGCTTCGAGGTTACGCTCCATGTCGCTGAAGACAGGGTTCATCACCGACTGGGCGTAGAGAACCTGCTTGTCTGCACTGACACTCGGGGTGGAGGAAATGATTCCAACGGACTCGAAAAGGTACAGCTGGCTGTTGAACACGGCATCGGCGGAGCCCTCGTGGTCCTCGGAAGACATCTCATCACCGTCATCACCCTCCGAAGGCACCTCGGCCTGGATAACCAGCAAGTCACTCAATGCCTCTACAACAGTCTGTGCCACATTGCCAATTTGGCTACGCAGCTGTCTAGCTAGCCGCTGGAACAGATACCAAGAACGAGTCTTGACTTTTCGAACGGGGTGGTGCACAAGCTGGAGGAAGCTCTCCAGAACTCCGGGGATGAGATGAGAGTGGTGAGTGAAGAATGAACTATAACGAACACATATTTCCATGTACTGAAGTTGCGTCGCGGGGTGGGTGAATGATCGGATATCGGACTCTACCATTGCAAGCATCATCTCGATGAGACGGTTCGCAGCCATGCCAGTAGGGGCGCCCTTCATGTATAGACTGCCGCCCCTGACGGCCAGATCGCCAAACAAGAACATCTCGTGCAAAGCGAGATCTAGGTCACGCCAGTCGAGCTGTCCACCGGATTCCCGCAGTTTTTGGAAAGTGGTTCCCACCACCTCTGAAATTGCATCGATGTAAAGCTGCTCATCGGCAGAGGCAATGATTTGCTGCAAAACACCCAGTCTCTTGCGCAGATCTTGGAACTCTGCCTCATCTGTCTGCTCGTCCTCCTCGCCCCAGTTCGAGGTCTCGTCGTACCGCATTTTCGCAATAATCGCTTTCAAAATCGGAAGCAGGATGGACTTGTTTCGCTCCTCGAAGGACGGGTTCGCCTTGGCGAATTTCCGGATGTAGGTGAGCATGTCGCTGACGCAAGGAATGACGGTCGAGCAAACTTCGTCATATTCGTCGGAGAAGAAACGCAAAATGTGCGGCAGGAAGACCTGCAAAAGGTTCTCTGCCTGCTCCTTGACAGGACCGGCGTCATTATCCAATACTCGCACAATATCCACGACTGTGTTGTTAACCAGCTTGGCAACCGTCTCTGCCAAATCAGTATCGTACTTGAATGTGAATCGGCTCTCCCGTAGTGGGGGGCTGTTAGACAACTGCGTGATAATGGAGTCGAGGTTCAGGAAAGCGATCATCTCAATTTTGTCCGAAGGCTTCATTTTCTTGCCAATGATCTCGGTGAAGACATCCACGGCCGCATCGCGCACCCGCTGTTCTCCCTCCCGCAGCTCCTGTTTCTCGGCCCGTCCAAGCTGCTGGAAGAGCAGGTCCAGCATGGTCTGGTTCACGACAAGACCAATATCAATCCAGCTGACCCAGCTACCAACAGCCTTCAAGCACATCTCGACAATCATATCATCACCTTCCCGCCACACTGCCAAAATCTCCTGCCAGGAGTTGGCAATTTTCTGCATGTCCCTCTCACGGATCAGGTCCTTCAACGCATTCGCCTTGTCCTGTTCCCCGCGAGATCTGGAAACCAGCACATCGCCAATCTCCTCGTGAATCGAGCTCAGCACACGCAGGTAAAAGATAACTCCAATTTGGCTATCCCGGCCGGTGGACTTGTAGGTCAGGTTCAGTAGATCGTCGATGCAGGACTCCCAGCCGTTCGCGTAGAGGGTGGAGAAGAGGAAAGTAACGGTCTGTGCAATTTTGTTCTGGATATAAGGAGCGTCGGGGGTGGCAGTGGCCTCCGGTCCGTAGGCCTGGCGGATGTAGGCTAGCACGCTATCTCGAACGGCGCCGATCGAGGCCTGATCGATCAAGCCGACCTGGGCGGCGCTATTGACAATCTCCAGACTGACATGCCGTACGACTTCGGGCCGCTGTGGGGTTTGAGTGAAGAGAGAAAGGCAGACCTGCCATCCGGAGGGGTCGGAGCGGAGTTGGTTGAGGTATTCGTAGGCTTGCGATTTTAGGGCTGTGTCGGAGGATGGATTCCAGGCGATCTCAATGGCATTTGCTACCTGGGATGTGTCAATCATCTTGTGTGCTGAGCTGAGGAACGTTCAAAGTTTCGGAGGGGTTGAAACGGCGGGGGAGGGGCCCTGTTTGGGGTGGAATTTTTTTTTGTACTGGAGGGTGAATATAATTGGGAGACTCACCTGTTCTTCCATCTTCCAGTCTCCCTTTTATGTGTGGGAAGGAGAGAGGGAAATGAAATGTCGGGGAGGTGTTGTGTTGTCAAAATTGTTTTTTGGTGGAGATATGACCTGCGGGCATTTCAACTGGATATCGTAATCGATCCCGTGCCAGTTTCCGCCTTCGCTTGCCAAGAGAGTGTCAAGTCTACAAGATTTATAGCGTCTCAGAGGGATATGAAAGAGATCTGAAAATGTGATGTTCTTTGTGTTTTCCCAAATAGGACAAGGGGCTTCCACACAGTTGTTTTTGGACCCGAAGCTTTATTTGAACGTCATATATGTACTAGACTTGCTATACTCATTGCTAACTATGTAAGGCTTCAAACTAGCTCAATGCCAAAATTGTTCTAATCTTTATTTTTAGGTCTATATTACTTTCAGCTTCAATGTCCTTTGGCCTTGTCAGCCTCTTGCTGCAAAACCTGCAGTTCCATCTTCTCAAAGCCCTCGACGGCTTGACCATACTGTTCAAACACCCCCTTTTGATAACCGTCCGCAATTTTCTCAATGAACTCGGCCTCGTTCCACCGCTGACCGATCAGGTTCTCAAAGGTTTGACCGGGCTGTCGCTCGATGCCCCAAACGGCCTTGTATGCGGCACCCAGGGCACAGGCATTGTCGCCAACATCGAGCGAATATACACCTTCAACACCACCAAGGACCTCGCCAGCAATCTTAGCAATTGCTTTGTTCTTAGATCCTCCGCCAACGAGATAAACTCGGCGTGGCTGGGAGGGAAGTCCATTGCCAGGGCTCTGGGTAAGGTCTCGAGACCGCAGACGCAGTGAAAGCAACTGGCTCTCGACGATGGCGCGGGCTTCATCCTGCGGCGAATTCCATCCATCGGTCGTCTCTTGGAGACTTCCAGTGTTGGCATCGTATGTAAAGCGCCATTGACCCTTGCTGATGTTTGGTACGATCTCGTGGCGCGGGAAGAACAGACCCATCTTCATCGGGCTCTTTGGGTCCTGCTGGCCCAATGGGGCAGTCTGCAGCGCAACCTTGTCAAAGTTGGCCCAGGGGTGGGCAGGGGTATCCTTCAAACTTTCATTGATCGCGTCTCGGACGTACTCACGGGCCAGACCGCCGTTCTTGTAGCACAGCATGAACATGTACAAGCCGGGGGTAGTAGGGTGGTTGAAGAAGTGCGTGGCTGGGTCGGGTTTGTAGTTGGGGGTAGACATGAGGAAGGTAGTAGAGGTGCCGAGTGAAACCATTGCATCTGATGGCAGCAATGGCAGCGCAAGAATGGTCGCCGGGTTATCGCCAGTTGCTGGAATAACCGTACAATCGGGACTGAAGCCGAAACGCTGTACGAAATATGCATGAACGGAGCCTAGGTGTAGGCCTCCATCTTCCGGTACCTCGCCCAGCTTCTGCTTGAGGTCCTCAACTCCAAACTCACCCGAGCAGAGCTGAATCAGGCGCTCATCGTACGCCCCTTTCTTGATGTTCCACAAATTCATCCCGCACACGTCGGAGATGTCAAATGGGGCTACATGGCCAAGGAAAAGCGATGCTAGGAAAGATGACACCAATGAGATTCTCGAGGTCTTCTTATAAATCTCAGGGTGTTTCCTTGTGAACCGGAGGATTTGAGGACCTGTGAATCTCTAATGATAGTGTCAGCAGGCTTGCCCCGCATATACTTAGATTTTGGCTTCTTACATGGTGTGCTTTGCTTCCGGTGGCCTGTGCCAAATCTTCGGGCTTGCCAAGAGCTGCATCGAACTCGTCACATTCTTTCTGAGTGCTCGAGTCTTGCCAATTGGGACTGTATGGGTGGGAGAAAGCGCCTTCGAGCTGTGCCTCGAGGGACTGGGTAGAATCTAGATTGCGGAGAAGTGACTCCGCATTCTGCCCCCAGTATACACTTCCGTGCTGTTGTCCCGCACCGCTAATTCCTCTTACGCGGCTGAAATCGAGACCCTGCTTGCGCAGGCTTTCTAGCACACCGTCCAATGCTTGCAGCCACAAAGCGACCGGGGCAAACACTTCATGTTCGGCTTCATTATTCAAAACGCCTTTTTTGATCGGGAACCCATGCGAGTCGGCATCGAAGTCGAATTTGGCAACATGAACCACTTTAAGATCGGAGTTGACAACTAATCCCTTCAATTGTTGTGTCGAGAGATCGAAACCAATGTAGAGGGGGCTATCGGACGCCATGGTGGAAGATATACAATTCCACGGGGACAATAGAGTAAATAGAGAGAAGGATAAAGTGGGACAGCTTTAGGCAAAATTATTTAAAGGGAATCCGGGAAAAGAGTGTAGAAGTGCAAGCGGCAAGATTCCCCCGCGGAACCGATGATGTAAATAGACTATAACCGGTCTCGTATAATGGACGCATTTTATATAAAAAAGTGGAAAGTAGAGACCGACAACCAATTAGGATAAGCTTATGATTTGCCCAGGAATGTCAAGTCAAACCCGAGAAAGTTTTTGGGCCGGGTAAATAGCTTTTTTTAGTAGCTCTGCTAAATTCTCGGTAGAATAGCCCCCCCCCCCCACTATCTACTATCTTGTATGATCTCTTTATATTCAATCTATACACATAGATATCATTGCAGAAATCTATCATTGTCGCTTCCGATCTTGGAGTGTCTCTGGGTCTCCACTAATATCCTGTGCAACGAACTCATCCGAGAACGTGAGGTCCTGAGCTTCGGCCGGAATGAAGCGCACCTTGATTCGCTTCACACCACGAACTCCAGATCCAACAGCCGTGCGAACGGCCTCTTCGATGTTTCGCGAGCGACTAATAGCCCAGGCTCCCGGCACAGCCAACTCAATATCCATGAGGTAGTTTTGACCGGACTTCATGCCTTGCACATCACGAACAATCACTTCGTGGCCATCCTCAAGATCTTCCAAGGCCTTGGAGGCAGCATCCTCCACAGAGTGTCGGATTTCCTCGTCCACCGTAGTATCCGCCAATTCCAAAAGAGAGGTACGGGTATTAGCCCAACCGGCTTTGATGACCATCAAGGAGATCAGAACTCCACCAACTGGATCCAGCCAGGTGGCGTCTTGGAAGACATAGCTTCCTCCAATTGTGAAAAGGGCGACGATGCTCGTCAGGGAATCGATCCGGTGATGAACGGCGTTGGATGCGAGGACAGACGACTTGCGCTCTTCGGCAACCTTCATAGCTGAAAATAAAGTTAGCCACCTGATAAAAAGATAAATCCCCAGATTCCCCTGTATGTTTTGTACTTACTGGCATGGTAAAGCCACTCCTTAACCACAATCGAGCCTGCTGCAATCCACGCCGCGTGGATACTAGGACCAATTGGCCCATGACTATGCGAATGACCATGTCCCAAAATCCCAGAGTGAGCTACTGTTTCAGCCACGTCGGGGTAGAACTGAGCTAGCAGGGCCTGTCCCGCGTTGAGACCCATAAACACTCCTCCACAGAGCAGAAGCCCACTCACTCCCAGCGCACCGATGCTCTCGATTTTGCCATAGCCATTGGGGAATCGTTCGCTCGGGGGTTTCAGGGACCAGGCGACTGTTCCCAGAGTCAAAAAGTCGGAGACGAGATCGGTGAGCGCGTGGTAAGCGTCGGCGATGAGAGCTTGAGAGTGAAAGACATAACCGCCAATGAACTTTCCAATTGCCATGCACAGATTAGCGACGAGACCAATCCTTGTGATCCGAACACCAGCATCGCGTTTGTTTGTGGAGGTCAGGTAGGTATTGTCGTGGTGGTGGTGATGACCGTGGCCGTGGCTATGGCCATGGTCTCTAGTTTGTGTCATAGCGAAAGATGTTGCCGGACGTGGGATGGAACGAGGTCTAGAGTGAAAAAGAAAGGATGAAGAGTCTTTTAAAAAAGGAGCGGATGTAAGTATACGCCGCTGAGCAGTAAGAGATCTGAAACTAGAGATCCTTAAGTGGAGAGGACGAAGCCTGCATAGGGGCTGCGTCAGCGGCATCACGTCGAAGGCACGCGAGCAAAATAAAACGATTGGACAGAGTGTTCTTTTCTTTGTTAAAGACAGGGATTTTTTTCTTAGTTACAATAAAGCGATGCAAGTGGGATGTTTCGATCAGGTCATCCGGCAATTCCCTTAATTTTCCGTTTCCAATCTGAGCGCTTGCATTTCTCATCATCTTCTCTCCATGACTCTTATTGATCCCTTTTGATTCGGACGACTCCCCGGAGCCTATCAAAATCTTTCTTTATCAGCCTTTCATATTATTCCGCTAGTGAATCCTTGACGAATCTTAAATCTTGCATACCCTCTTACACACCATCCGCCAAGCTTCCAACTACGCAATCGTTGGAGAACCTCCGCTCTTTCGCCAAGACAATGATGTTGCGTCTTCAATGACGACGCCTGCTATTCGGATTCCCTTCACGGGACCATTACCGCCTGCTATCATAATCCCTCGAACTGCAGCAACGCTTGCAGGGGCAATTGACGCTATTAGCACTTTCTTGACGGCGCCACCGTCCTCAAATCTCCGGGGCATCGATGTGGGGAGACATTCCCAGACGGTACTACTGACTGGCGCAGGTATCTCCGTCGCGTCTGGTCTGTCGGACTATCGAGGCGACCAGGGTACCTACCGACTAAACAAATCCTATCGTCCTATTTACTACCACGAGTTCGCCGCCCACCATGAGTCGCGCAAGCGGTATTGGGCGCGCAGTTTCATCGGATGGCCCGGGCTTTTGAAAGCAAAGCCGAACTTGACTCATTGGGCAATCAAAGATCTTGGTGATAAAGGGTACATCAGTTCCGTGGTGACACAAAATGTCGACTCGTTCCATTCCCTCGCGCATCCGGGCCTGCCTACCCTCGAACTACATGGATATCTGCGATCTGTCGTATGTACTAGCTGTCGAACCCAACTTCCCCGCGCTGACTTCCAAGCGTCGCTGGAGAAACTCAATCCAGCTTGGGCGGAGTTTTTGGCTCGTATGATTGCAGAGGGTGTGCTTGATACGGATAATCAGGAGGAGCAACGGCAGAAAGGCTTGAAGCTCAACCCGGATGGTGACGTTGATCTCGCTGAAGCGCCATATTCTACTTTCCGTTACCCCTCCTGCCCGACCTGCTTGGAGAATCCTCCTACGCTCAGCGATGGCACGAAGGCGACTGTAGAGGTCGAGCGCGATGGCGCATTATCGGCGACTTCCAATGCGGGCATTTTGAAACCAGCGGTGATCATGTTTGGAGAAAATATCGATCCACTGGTGAAGACAGCGGCTGAAGAGGCGATTGATGATGCTGGGCGGCTACTCATCTTGGGTAGCAGCCTGGCGACTTTCTCGGCGTGGCGCCTAGTGGAACGAGCACACAAACGAGGCATGCCTATTGGTATTGTCAATGTTGGTGGCGTGAGGAATGAAGCCCTACTATTTGGAAATATTGACCATGAACCCACAGCTCATGTCCGGTGTAGCCATCCAGCCCAGTCAATCCTCCCGACCGTTGTATCCCAACTGCCAGTCAATCGATAGATTTTAGAAAATAATATAAAATATATTGAAATCAATATCATTGTAAAATAACACAAGACTAGTAGCAAAAATTAACTATAAATATAAAACATAGAGAGAATAAGCGCCTGAGGCAAAAAGAAAAAGGCCAGTCGATAAGTCCCGGGCCGCTCAACGCGGGGCTCCTCCCTCACGTCTCAGCATGGAGCACTTTAGGGATCCTCACCCTTTAAAGATCGCCTCCAATCTGGTTTCTCCTGGTCACTTTCTCTTTTCTAAGCCCAAACCATCGGGGCCACCGGCTTCCAAAACTACACAGAAAATGGACAAATCTCAGCAACCCAGTTCCTTCCAGCAGCTAGAAAAGGCATGTCAATCTACTTATGTCTTGGATCTTCGCTAACTGTCTTATTTCTAGCTCGGCGAAGGCACTTATGCTACCGTACGTCTCGATCTCTCTCCGTTTTACCTCCCCGGTCCTAACCTGGTCGCCACTCTCCCCCATTCACCGCTGATGCAGAATACAGGTCTTTAAAGGGCGCAACCGCCAAACCGGTGAAATGGTGGCGCTGAAGGAAATTCACTTGGATTCAGAGGAGGGAACCCCATCGACTGCAATCCGTGAGATCTCGCTCATGAAGGAGCTGAAGCATGAGAGTATTGTTTCGCTTTACGATGTCATTCACACGGAAAACAAACTTATGCTTGTTTTTGAGTTCATGGATAGAGATTTGAAGAGATATATGGACACTCGCGGCGATCGTGGACAGCTGGATCCTGCCACGGTCAAATCCTTCATGCACCAGCTACTCAAGGGTATCGCCTTCTGCCATGACAACCGAGTCCTCCACCGCGATCTCAAGCCACAGAACCTCCTGATCAACAAGAAGGGCCAGCTCAAGCTGGGTGACTTTGGACTGGCTCGCGCATTCGGCATCCCCGTCAATACCTTCTCCAACGAAGTCGTCACTCTGTGGTACCGCGCACCGGACGTCCTCCTCGGGAGTCGCACCTACAACACCAGCATTGATATCTGGTCCGCTGGCTGCATCATGGCAGAGATGTACACGGGCCGTCCGCTTTTCCCTGGCACAACTAACGAGGATCAATTGATCAAGATCTTCCGTCTGATGGGCACGCCGTCTGAACGTACATGGCCCGGTATCTCTCAGCTGCCAGAATACAAGTCCGACTTCCAAATCTACGCCACGCAGGATCTGTCACTGATTATCCCGCAAATGGATGCTATCGGCATGGATTTGTTGAACCGCATGCTCCAACTCCGTCCGGAGATGCGCATCAGCGCCACTGAGGCCCTGCAGCACCCGTGGTTCCATGATCTGCCTCAGATCCAGGCTAAATTGCAGCAACAACACCAGCAGCAGCAGATGGCCGGATATGGAGGCATGATCCCCCCGCAGTCCGCGTATTAGCGGTCTAGACTGCGCATGACGAGATGACGAGCTCAGTTAGACAATTGGACATGGGAGAATTCGGCGTTATACCCGATAATGGATTTTTTTTTTTTTTTGCATCTTCTTTTTTTCAACTTGATATTGCGGATTTTGGGCTAGTTTTTCTTTTTTTTAAAAAAAAAAGATGAAGAGTATCTGACCTTCCTGGGGATGGATCGACTTCGGAACAACATTCTGTTGTCTTGATGCTCTGGAGCAGCGCTCCAGATGTTATCAACATTCTGCCTGTCGCTTTTCAAATAGCTATTCCTCGAGAAATGAATTCTGCCATCCACCCCAAGCTATATTTATTAGCACAAAGAGCGAGACATGTGCAACAAGCGCTTGGGCCTAGTTCAAATGTCTCTGTTGGGACTGCAATCCTCGGGGATATCTCGGCTTGTTACTGTAACTGGTTCTTTATACACCGGCCAAGAATTTTCGGAACGAACAAGCTCATAGCTGCTGCACTGCGCTTTGTTATTAAGTGCCCGGCTGTAGGTACCTAGAGGAACCCTTTCGAGCAGGCATCAACTTCGTTTGAACGTCTTGATGCTTGTTCGGAATAATCTTTCAAACATGCAGTCACCCGTATTTCAATCTGGTCTTTTGTGCAGAGTACTAATGAGCTGTGAAAACATCGGGGGGAAACAAGTTGCTAATGTCACACGGGCGAACTGATTTTATGATCTCACAAGGCCCTTAAATTCTTGTTATCGTTGTACTCTTGGCATATTCAGGTTACTTCAAGAATAGACTCTAACAGGGGACAAAGACTGCCTAAGGAATGGCTCTGCTCATTGGTGCAATCCAAGGGCTATGCATTCCGAGGCTTTTCTATGCAGACCATTACTGGTCCCTTATCCAATCCCTTGCCTATTACCAATGCAAACCTCAGCAGATTGTACGTTGTGGTAGCACCCACGTTGGAATCGTTCGCATGTCTTTCCCTGGAAGTACCGGCCTGAGCCATGGTGCTTGAGAGGGAATAATTTAAAAGATATCCTCCTTGGTTCTTACTCATATTCTTGGCAGTTTCTTGAGCCTAATCCTGTTACGACTGTGCTCTTTGTTATATGGCCGGTCATCAGGTTAGCATCTTCCTGGCTATAAGCCGATGAGAATAACAGCAATGTGCTGATCGGGTTAGCCTTAGCTTATTTGTCATTTGGGGTTTGTTCCTTTGTTGCCCATTACGGATAATAAGCAGGTGATATCGTGCTTCGGTATAACTCGAAAGTCCCCCTGGGTAGATCTACAATCATCTGCATATTCACAAGCAATCTTGGCTTTGAACCACGAGGATTTTCCCGGTTCATATCGGCCGTTGGATATAACCTTTAGGCGCTGGATGCCCTTCTCCTCGCGGTGACTAGGTGGATCATGATACCATGACGCTGTCAGAACGACAAATATTGGCCATTTCGGCCACAGAGCGGGTTTGCTCGATTATCTCACTCGTTGGCACTTTTGTTATAGTCGCTACTTTTATCTGGTCCCCCACGTTCCGTAAACCCATCAACCGCTTGGTATTCTATGCATCATGGGGTAACATGATGGCTAATATAGCCACCATCATATCGGCAGACGGGATTCATTCTGGGGTTGATAGTTCCCTGTGCCAGTTTCAGGGGTTTTTGATTCAATGGTTCGTGTTATATCGGTAACTAATCACCCTTAACAGACGACCACTAATAGGCAAGGATAGGTTCATGCCCGCCGATGCACTATGGACATTTGCAATGGCATGCAATGTGTACCTAACATTCTTCCACAAATACAACTCCGAGCAACTACGCCGGCTGGAATGGAAATATGTCCTCTGCTGTTACGGTGTTCCATTTGTCCCAGCTTTCGCATACTTCTTCATCCAGACCCAAGCCCGAGGCCGGATATATGGCTCCGCCATAGTAAGCAGAACCAAACGGCCTTCCTTATACCAGCCTCTGCTAACCCATTCACTCTCAACAGCTCTGGTGCTGGATTTCTGCACAGTGGGGCTTCCTCCGCATCGCCACTTTCTACGGACCAGTCTGGCTCATTATCTCATTGACCTTCGCCATCTACCTACGAGCAGGAACGGTGATTTACCAGAAACGGCGCCAGCTTCGAAACCTCGGCGGCATCGACTCAGATCTTGCTCCAGAATCTCCTTTTGCTATGTTGACCGGCATTCAAGTTACAAGGGAGATTGCTTGCTCGACACCAGAACGCCGGTCTTTGTCAGAAGGTAACGCACGCGGGTTGCCGTGTGCTGCGTTCAGAGCATACTCGGTCACGATCGAGGGCGGGAGTACCCCCAGCGCGGTTCAGGGTTCCAGCTCAAAAATTGATCCAAGTCCTCTTCAACAGGAGAATTCTGGCAAGATTGCGCGGCCAGAGGGACAGGATTCACAGCGGAGGTCGACGTCTACGGAAGCTATTTCGGCTACTTGGGCGTATACGAAATACGCTATGTTGTTTTTCATTGCATTGCTTGTTACATGGGTAGGTCTGGTCAAAGTTCATTACAGTCTGCAAACGGGTGTCGGTTCTTTTCGTGTGTTGATTGTTCGACATTGCAGGTCCCCTCGACGATAAACAGAGTCTATTCATTGGCTCGTCCTAATGACTTTAATTTCAGTCTCAACTATGCTTCTAGCTTTGTTCTCCCACTCCAGGGCTTTTGGAACTGCCTTATCTACGTCTCTATATCATGGCCCGCATTCAAATTACTTTGGTCTGACCTCCATAGTCGCGTATGCTCGTGGCGCATACCCCGTTCGGTGACAAATATACAATCCTTTCATCTACGGAAAATCTCTCAGACATCGAGTCCTGCTCTTTTGGTAAAAGCCGAGAATGAGGAGAACAGACGCCGGAGTTGGCTGGGCTTAGATCCGTCAAGTTAGGGCTGGGAGTTGGTTGATAGCCAAATACCTCATTTCCATTGCAATATACCATCTGCACTACTTCATGTAATCTATATACCCCTATTAGCACAATCTAGAATTTAACAGAGTATAAAAATCAAAAACATTCAAATATCAATGTAATGTATGACTCCAGCAATTCGATCTATAGAAACACGTGACCGGCGCGTCGCGTTGAAGTCCATCCAACACCCCAGATCCAAATCCCCAAAGAACCACAAACAGTCTCCTACACACCACTCTCGCCATTCCTGCATGCTCTTCATTGCCTCCCACTCTCTGACTTTATCCTGACAACAGCGACATCCACCATGGCCGAATCAAATTCCCGCCAACCGCCCGCGTCGCCGTCCCCTCCCCCGCCAGCTCCAATCTCCCAACCCCCGGGCCCACGCGCCTCACGTCTAAACCAAGTTTTCGAGCAGGCTCTGGCACGCACGCTCCGCGCAAACTCATATGCGAATTTTGCAGGCTGTTTCCCGACACCTGCGCGCCACGTTCCTGCCAGCTTGGAGGGTGTCTGGCGGCAGCTGAACGCGAAACTGGAAGCGAATGCCAAAGCCGAATTTGATGATATTGTTGCAGAAAGAGATGCGGTGCGGCATTTGAATGAGCTTGATCGACTGGTTGGGGATGCGAGGGTTAGGAGGGATCAGGAGGGGGAGAATGCCGAGGGACAAGAGAGAACAGTGTATGTTGAATATGGATTGGGCCAATTATTCGGACTATATTTGCTTTTGTCTTTGGTTCTGATTTCTAACTTTGTTTACTGTATAGTGCGCATACCCTTGGTGCCGAAGATCTGTACAAAGCACACCTTACGCCCTATCTGCAAGAAGCGCAGTCAACCCTCAACACCAGACTCGAGTCTACTCATGCGGAAAACGCGGAGCTTGCGCAGACTGTGCAGGCGCAAAGGCTAGAAATTGAGCGGCTATTGTCGCATCTTGGATTGGTTGTTTCCGATATTGAGGGTGCTGCTACGGCGGCCACGCAATTCAGCAGACAACATCACATTCGCCAGGACGCGATTCAGATGAACGAGGAGGCAAACGCCCGTCCGGGTCTGTGAGAGCGTTGCGGGAATTGTTTCTCTATCCGATTCATGATGAAATCAGAGCACTCAATTCCCTGCCGTCAACCAATCCGTCTTCCACCATATCCTGCGCCACGACTATCACCTGTTGGAGATCCGTTGATTTGAGCTGCTCGAGCTTCGTGTTCTGGCCTTCGATCGCTGCGGCAATCGCCTCCTTGCAAGTTCCATCGCGTTCTTCCTCGGCCGCTCCATCGCGGCGGGCTAGAGCTGTTGCTCCGCGGTAGTACGTCTGAGCGTTGCGCAGGAGCATGGCTCCGTTCTGCTTCGCCATGGCGTGGTTCCAGGGCGCTCGTCCAAGACGCCATCTGTGCATCTCCGTGTCTCCGCGACCAAGGTGGATCTTGGGCAGGTTTTCGGCATCCGGGAGCTTGGTAGCAGCTGTCAATGCGTCCAGGGCGGTTGATAGCGAGTTCCAACGCAATGCTACCACATCTTCAAACGCCTCGTCGTCCTCCGATGGGGGAAGGTCTGAAAGCGCCTGGTTCAACGAGGTGAGCGCATCTGCTTTACCACACAGTCCTTCAGGATCTGCAGATACATCCAGTTCAGGACCAAAAACCTGTCCAACCTCCTGCTGGTAGGTTTGGATGTCGGTATGTCCGCCTCGGTAGAGCAAATCGTCCAAGGCACAGATGAACTTGGCTCGCGCCAAGGCCGCCTCATACTGTCTGTCCGAGCCTTCGGCATACGCAGGCAGTCGCGAATGCACTAGCTCCGACGAGTACTCCTGCACCCAACCAACGCCGCCCACGCCGGGGTTAGAAGTCAACAAGTTGCACAGAGTCGTCAAAGTCTCCAGCTGTGCCACCGCCGTGTCCACCAGCGTATTCTTCGTGACGGGCTCCACAATCATCGCCCACTGTTCTTGCTCCTCACCTGCGGGCTCGGCTTGGGACTGCCCCGCGGCTGGTGGTACAGTCTCCGGCTCGGGTGGTACACCCCCAGATTCCATCAGTTCGATCTCCTCTTGCATTTCCGTGTACTTCATCTCCTGTACCATCAAACACCGCTGGAACAGCTCAATCGCCTCTTGCAGGTATGTCCCCGCCTGCATCTGCTCCTCTTCACCGGGGTGCTTCAGGTTGGATATCAACTCCGCTAGACTGGTCAGTACCTGGCCCGAATTGAACAACACGTCAGCATTGTCTTGTTCCAGAGACAGCGCATCCCGGTGTGACTGCAGCGCAACCTGTAAAAGCTCCCCCTGTGGCGCTGGCAACTGGGCCGCTAGTTTGGGGTGCTGGGTGATTTCATATTGGACTCGTGCTCTGGGTGGTGTGTTAATAAAGGTAAACTCAATACCTCTCAATCATGGATGGAATTGAAAAACGTGAAAACAAGACTTGTTTCGATATGCCGATTATACATACTTGTTGTAAGCTAGATCAAATGTGCCAGGATGTTTTTGTAGTCCTTCGTCATAGTTGGTGATGGCCCGCATAAAAAAGCGCATGGACTTGGCCGCGTCTCCGGCCCGCCATTTCTCGCCGGCTTCTTCTAGCTCGACGCCAGCTGGAAAGGTAGTTGGTATTTTGACTGATATTATTGGATTATTAAGGTTCAAATACACACCTGCAAGAAAATCATCTGCAGTCACAGGCACCTATATCAAAATGTATGAGATCATGATCGAGCTGTCTGGGGGGTTATATTGCTACCGCATACCTGTTTTGAGGCTGCCTTCTTCTTTGTCTTTGACTCCCGTAGGAAGGATTTCGGCTTCGGCATATTTGCGGGAAAACTGTTGATTGAATGAGGATCGACAGAGATGGGAGTGCTTGAAATTGAAGTAAATCCGGCAGAATCTGCGCGGTGTGAGAGTATAACTCTTTTTACCTCGACTACATGTAACATAATGATAGTTATTTTTCGACTTTGAGGTTTAATACTCGTTACTATAGTAATGTAAGACTTCTTTGAACTATAAAATGTGCGACTGAAATATTTTCAAAGCAGCCTGATCCTTTAGATCTGCATGAATGCCAAGACTGGCAGTTGGTGTACAACATACAGAGTACGGAGTACGGAGTAAGCTGCTCGGGTTTTGTTTCATGTTTTGAAGGTAATATTGGTATGTGTTGCAAAAGGGGGTTCTGTGTTGCCGGCTCCGTATCTGCGTAAAAATGATACATATAGAGACCGAGGTATGTACGGTCCCTTGCTGCTATCTCGGTAGTACCTACAGTACCTACAGTGGTATACATAAATGGAAAAGCTAGCCAGGTTTTATTCTCACGGAATAGAATATAGAACGAATATAATAGAGTCACCAAAATGTTGTACCTCATGGTACCTCCCCTATCCAACGAAAGTACCCGAGATGATCTCGCGTGGCGAACAGCACGTGGCAAAGATATCCCCGGCAAAGGTTTCTTGACATCAGAAGAACAGCGAATTTAAATCATTGAGCAGTTATGATTTGTGTATATAATCATACCATACATATACATATCCACCTTGCAGTATCTCCTAACATACGATTACGTCGATCTTTCAAAAAAAAAAACTTCCACCCCTTTCCCACACGCCTTTCCCCACCAACTTGACCCACCCCGTTTCAACTTCTCCTTTCTGTGACTCTATTTCTACTTCTGCACAGCATTGGTACCTTTGCGATCTCGACATATCCCTCTACCGGACTGGGTATTTATCCCTTGGTTCAAGATCGCCAGGCACTAGGCCTCAGTAACACCCGCTAATAGGTCAATTCTGCAGGCTGCATTCCATTTAAGGCCTTTTTTTATACCTACAATTTGAAACCGAGCCCCTCTTTCGGCGCAGATTCTCCTTATAACAACCATATCACCTCCCAAAAATGGCTCGCCAACCTTCTCTCGACTCTGAACGTCCCATCATGGCTCAATCGGTAGGACCTCCTCCCTTTTCCTCTCCACCCACTCTGCCCATAGGCCCTTTACATTCACTTTAGTACCGCGCAAGTCTAACCTGCTGCAGAACCGAAACTCAAAGCGATTCTCCACTGTTAGTGGAAGTGCCTCGCTGGCTCCCTCCGATCGCACAAACGGCACTCTACCTAGCGGCGACCCCAGAATCGCCGACATCTTCCAACTCCACGATGGCTTCGAGCGTCTCGAAAACAAGCCTCTCAACAAGCAGCGATTCGTCCCTACAGAGGAGAAGTCGAACAACCTAAACAAACTTGCTCTTGGGGCTAAGGTCGAGCGCGCTCTCGGCCGGAGGATGACCAGCCAAGACGCTGTCATGCGCAAGCCTCTCTCGGAGAAGACTGAGGCGCGTACTGACTCGCCCTGATTGTGACGATACATCTAGGAGACTGCCGTGAGCTTTGTTCACTGGCTGACCGTCTCTGGTCGTTCGCATGGTTCTTGTTTCTTGTTTCTTGTTCCTTATTTTTGCCTCTTCCGTCCCAACATTCGAGCCTCTATTGACACGGCTCTTATGATTGTCTTTTTTTTTCACAGTCACCGTTTCATGTCCTATCATACCCCTCTTTCTTTTTTTCGGATCAGTTTGTGGCGTTTTGACTTGAGATGCGCATTATTTCGTTGAGTATGAACTTTCGGATCTGGTATTTTCTTTTCTCTTTA